TATTCCCAACTGCGTGGGCAATCATTACAAACATGTGCGGGGCGGCAGTTGCTCTCGCTTTTAATGCACATGATGCCCCACGTTCATCACAACAACGAATGCACTGTGCGCCGCTATTAATATGTGACCACACGCTTGCGTGATTGCACAATGTAACGTGTGCACAACAACAGGTGACGCTAAAAATAAGCCGTGATGGCTGCATGGGCTGAAAGATGCACTTAGCAATATAGGGGTCCCTTCAAAAGAAACAAATGGCTTCTATTAAGGGCCCTATTAATACACTGGCACACACCATTGCTGATGCGTACGGACGCGCACCTTCAACTGTTGCCCACTCCGACATATGCAAACACAAAGACCTGCTGTGTACACTCAAAAGAAGCAACTGCAAGCTAATAATATCTTGGCAGGCATAGAGTGGACACACACACAAGAACACACACGTATGGATGCACACATTTGGAGATTGATACTCCAGCTGCTCGGAAGCAGAGGGACAGAATGTCCCCAGCAGCTGTGCATTCCTTTCAACGTAAGAATAGAGGGGGGGAGGGCGGGAAACTCGGGGCTAGGTGGCAAGTAGCAGGAACTGCTAAAAGTGGGCATGACGGTGACGTCAGTATGCTGTTATAAGCTAATAAGATGCAAGAGCCTTTAAATCGTTGGGAAATATGCTGATTATAATTACTGGGGATGTAGGTTTGTGGAAATGTTTTGCCGAGTGCCGACAGTTGTTTCAAATATCACGGTTAGCTCATTTTGATACCTCTGATGATTTTGAGTGAGCTCTTTGAATGAATCTCATCAGAAAAAGGCTCCAGCTGCTCAAATGGATAGATAGATCGAATCTGCAGGTGTACCCAATGAAGTGCATCTAAGTGGGAGTGTTGGCATTTGTTGTCATCATGTCAGGGCGTGTAAAGAGTAAAAAAAGCGACAAACTAATGATGATTACATGAAATTATTTTCCATTTTAGTTCTCTGTTCTGTGCTTGACATCCATTTTCGTTTTCAGTCCAATCATGTCAATGCTTTAAATATTAAAATAGCTGAATGTGCACATTTCCTGTTTGGCTACACGGCCAAGAAGCGAAGCGCAGCTGGGAGAGGCTCAAGCAACAACACACACATTAATTGACACAGGCAATTGATGGCTAGCCGTTAGCACTTGTCGTCAGTTGCCAGCGACGGTAGGAGTCAGTCAGCCAAACAAACAACAGAGAGACGGGGGTGGCTACATTTGAGGTGGCTGTATTTATGGCACTCGTTCCCTATGCTCATTACACTCAACTCAAGATGCTTATTCTCGCTCTATCTACAGACTCCTCTTTATATATATCTTCTTCGCATACAGACTTCCCCATTTTGGGCAGCCGGCACTCCAACCGCAAATGGCTGATGAATTTTCAGTATGAGGGCGGCCTGAGACAGTTTCATTGGTCCACTGTGACGTGTTCGGTATTTTCATTGGTCGAACGTAACGAGACTTTGGGGATATGACAATGACTATGGAACGGCTTCAAGCTCATCGGTAAAAAGTCATTAAAAAAAACGCATCACATTCAAGGCCGCATGGTTCAAAGCGCAGGAACAAGTCCAGGAAGCCTCGGCTGTTTCAGGAAGTGTAGATTTAGCCGCCATCTTTAATGTAACTGCGCTGGGCTCCAATAAATTTATCATACCTCATAAATTCTTTACCGATTTTGACATGAATTGTTTTGGTAGAAACATCAGACAGGCAATTATGACACCAGACACATGCGTAATTGTAATTGGAGCTTTTATAACTTATTGAATATAAAGGTAGAGACAAATGTTTTTTGTTTTAATTTAAGAAAAGAGATCTCAACAAGAAAAATGTACAATGTTCTTGACCTTATATTAAATATTATTTTGTTTTTTTTTCTTTCTATCACTCTTTTGAACAGTGTGGACTTCATTGAAGCATCAATAAAAGCTGTGAAAACAAATACTGAACATTTCACTTTTGACCTGTAACGTATGTTTTGATTCAAGTCAAAACCGAAACATAGACCCATCTTCTATTTTCATATGTTTATATCCGACTCCAGAGGAGTAATGGCTCGGCAGTCATGAACCTCTCCGCACGTCACCGCATGCGTGTGTCATATAGTCTCACTGCACCGTTGCTAATTGAAGCAGGTCAAAGCCTCAAGTATGATGCAGTGCTTACTGTATGTACGCAAATAGTAACTCTCACTTAGTCTAAAGCGTGACTTGCAGACTGAACTCCGTCCAGTGACAAAGTGGCATTCGTTTCAACCCAACAATAAACAAAAGCCAAACTTTTAGGCCGCGACATGGATATAAATACAGCTGACAGACATCTGCACTCTCGAGCTGCAGCAATGTGCCAGTAAATCTATTCAACCAAAATAGCAGCTTCTGCTTGCCTAAATGAACCAAGAGGATGTTATGGTGAACACTAACTTTAGATACAGGAAGTGCACAAGTGTCTGTGTGTGTGTGTGTGTGTGTGTGTGTGTGTGCGCGTGTGTTGCGTGCAGAAGCCCCACAGAAAGAGGATGGATGGTTGTGAAACAAATATGCCATTACAGAAACCAGAAGTTTGTCTCCTGTTTATTTTTAGCGCCACAATGCTCAAAATGAGAAGAGAGAAAGAGAGAAACTTCTCACACAAGATCACTTTGAGATACTGCACTGTTCTGGTTATTCATAAAACACAGAAAGATTTCATCATGGCAAAAAAACAATACTTATTAAGGTCCATCTTTATGAATTTAACTGGAGTTTTTACTGGTTTGAAGCGACACCGCACACGTTGGGAGGGTTGCAAAAAATCCTGAGAACTCCTCCAATACACACACTGTATTGTTGAAGTAATACCTTGACTGCCAATCAAAAGTGGATTCTGTCGGCGTACCTAATATAGTGTCCTGTAAGTGTAAATTTACAATTTTAAAACCCACCAATGTGAATATTTTAGATTGGTTTTGGTGACGGGCTGTGGTGGCCGTGTATGGTTCTTCCGCACACTACCAAAGCAGCTGGCTGCAGGTTAAAATACTTCATCGTCCTGTTGCCAGTAAATCATCCATCTTTCTTGTAACTGATAAGACCTCCGTCTTCTTGGACACCACGGGACATCAAAAAAGAGTCATTAAAAGGGAGCTTGGCAAGAGGCGGTGAAGATTTGGCACTTATAGTCCTGCTGATCACCCCACAAATCCGTGCTTGCAAAAAAAAAAAAGGGCTTTCCGGTGGTTTTTAACCCTTTCATGCATCCTGTAACCTGATAACCTGATAAGGACATGATAAGTAACCGCTGTCCCTGAGAAGGTTAAAGTATTGGCAAAAAGTGGTTACAACAACAACAAAAAATCGATCAAACACAAATTCGTTTTATATTCATAAAGGCTAATTTGGAGGAAAGCCCATGCACTAATTCCTGTAGCACAATTTGAAATTGAAGACTAAATAGAAATGCATGAAACATTTTAAAAGAGTTGAGGTAATTCCTGCTAGCCCGCCCTCGCTAATGCCCTGGTTTCTTATTATGACGTGATTTCCACGTGCACCACATGACTTGACTATTAGCCTGTTTATTTTGTGTGACTGATTCTAGATGAGCCGATCTTTTCATCCATCCATTTTCTCCCGCTCATCCTGTTCAACAAACGAAAGCGGGCTACGACCTGAACGGTCACCATTCAGTCGCAGCGCAGCCCAAATTATGATATGAACCCACATTCTTTTGAGTTTGAGGCAGCCGTGCCATCCAGGTGTTCTTTTTATGATTGATTACATTCCTCGCAGTTTCACATAATACCCAGAAATCCCTCACAACCTTTCGCGAATGTGAACGCTGCGCAAGGCCGTCCGTGACAAAAAGCAGAAGTGAAACCCATGAAGCTTACATGCACATTAGCATGTACTGTAAATCCTCCTGGTCTCATCGACTCCCTTCATTATTCTGCCGTGTGCAAGCGGGCGTAGGAGACACTTTTGCAAACCCGAAACACCCTCACAGAGATGATTACTTCACTGTGAGTCAGTCGGACTTTTGGGAACCGGGCCCAAAATGGAGCTGCATGTCACCACGAAACTGAAGAGATGTTTACTGTCGCCATTCGGAGCTTTAATTTGGACCGCTGTCCGTCCGTAGTGTACAGCGGCGTGCGGACCTGTCCTGCACGCAGCCGTGGTGGCGTCAGTTCCCCATCGCTGGTGTTCAGTCCACGGTGTAGTCACACCTTAGGATATACGACACTTTGTTGACCTTTCTGTTTGGTTTGATGAATTTGTAGTTTTAACCCTTTCATGCACCCTGTAACCTGATAACATGATAAGCTGTCCACTGTCGTCATCGCTGTCCCCTGAAAGGGTTAATAATAGAATCTTTTCCACTATTACATATCGGTAAGAAAGAACAGTTCGTCTGTCTTATGACAAATGTTGAGCAATGTTGTGGGTTGAAGTCATATGAAGGCGAATAGGCTCGGTAAATTTCCTTCCAAGTAACTCCACTTCCCGTCGCTGATGTCATGTTGTTCCTTCCCCCTCGAAAGCACAAGTGGTTGCAGCCGAGTGGCGCTCTCCATTTTGCCACATAATTGCCACATTTTGCTTCATCATGTTCACCTTTGTATCTATCTGTCTATCTTTCAGACAACCGACGTTTGGTTCGCTTGTCGCACGGGTGCTGAACTTTGCCTTTATTTTTTTGTTTTAATTCGCCCTGGGAGATGGAAAAAAACTGAATAATGAACTCCACCTTATTGTCTTGACTACACAAGTCCCACCCTATTGTTTTTTTTTTTTTAATGCTGGAGTCTATTTTCTGTTTTTGACCATTTGTCCTCATACGTCTGACGCAATACCTTGACTACACAAGTCCCACCCTATTTTTTCTATTTTTGACCATTTGTCCTCATACGTCTGACGCAATACGTCAACAGGTACCCGTTTGCCCATGAGTAAAAATAATGTCTTCCTCTTTCTGTTCCCCTTCATAGTGGATGCCATCAGCAAAGGTCTTTCACTACCCAAAAGTGGGCAACAGTCCATGGACCTAAGTGTCTCCCACAGGCTGGTTCATCCAGGCCGAGATTCGGCTATGCTGGCCCCCCACCGTCCCTTGTTCCTGGGACCATTTACCTCTCAGCCCTGCTCTCAGTTTCCATACCAACACTTGCAGGTATGTACAAACATGCCGTTGAGTCCTCGCAGATGGATTTGCACCTGCGCAAACTCAGCCCGTTGGTCGCCACCGCCTCATCACTGTTGTGAAGCAGCAACGTTTTTCATGGACCGCTCATTGGTGCTGTAGTCCTTGCGAATTTGCACGTTTGGTCTCATCATCGTTTTCTTCTTGCAGTACAACACCGAGCAAAGGCAAAGGGAGATGGAGGCTGAGAAGCAAGAAGAGCTCCAGCAGCTAATACGAAAGAGCAAAAATGAACAAAGTGAGTGTTCCCGTGGACAAGATTGATTGACTCACGGTGTTCGATTCTGTTCTTGGCAGATTGGTGACATGGTCTTTATCTGAGTCACTGCATCTATGTTCCAATAAAAAGGGGATTTCCAGCCATTTTGCGCTCAGGTTCCAAGGAAATTGCGTTAATGCAAAAACCGACGTCAAACCGGACAGATTGTTTCAGGAAGCGCCTCAATCTGTACCCGATACAGGAAATGGAGAGTGGCCTCGGGGACAACTTTTGATGTTGCTATTCGTCAACCATCCTGCTTGCGCCATTGTTCAGAAGACATATTGCGGATTTTCCTCATTTGCTCAGTTTCACTTGAAAGGGTGCGGTTGGCCTGTCGGTCCAATTTGGAGGCGTGCAAAATTTCTCAAGGAGAGGAAAAATATGGAGTTGTAGTGTCCGCAGAAGTGGTCATGATTTTATCTCGACATTGACCTGCAGGTGCGGTAGCCAGTCCACTGGTGAGGCAGAAACTCAGAGAGCACATCATTATGAAGAGCCAGCCCACCCATGACAGGGTCACCCCCAAGCACAACAGTCCCACGCCAGGATACGGGTCAGTCCAAACAAAAAAAAACAACAACAAAAAAAAGAGTCCTCTGAGTGTATATTTGCGAAACAGAATTTGTTTCGTTTACCAAGGCACCCACTTCCAGACATGCCCCCAAAGTCTCATCCGTCACCCGGTGACATCCAGCGGAAGGAACTGCGGAGAACAGGTGAGCCGTTCTTCCTCTCTTGTTCCCGTGTCCATGTAAGAAAAAAAAAAAGATGTGATTTTTCCATTTTAACTGTCTTTGGATTTTGTCAACCACAAAAACAGAACCAAAAAAAGCGAACGGGAGCGTACTCTCTGTTAGCATGAAGGCGAGTTTTGAAACGTCAGGCCCGCAAGGGCCAGAAAGAGAATGCGAGAGAGCAAAATCTCCCAAGTCGTAAAAGCAACAGTGACAGTGAGACACAAAGAGCAAAACAGTTACATAACATTGACTTAGGTATGTGTAAAATGAACTGTGTGAGAGTACAGCAGGTTTCTCTCACCGTGAGAATGACAGGAGGTGTGGTTAGATCCGAAAGCACACCAAGCACGACTTGCTTTAATGGGATTATTGATGTGCTTTATTCCAGTCTTCTATTGTTTTTTTTTTTTTTGTTTTTTTTCTGAACCAGATACTGTTTGTTTGGTTTTTGTTTTTTCATTTGTTTGTTTTTTGAGTTGGGGCAGTACCGGATGCTCAAATAAGCTCGGGCTAAATATATATATATATGTGCATGTGACTGTTGCGTTGTGCGCGTGTTTCCTCGCGTGTTTATTTCTGTTTTTTGTGTATGCATGCAGTGTCTGAGCCGACACTAAAGTGGAAGTTAAAGAAGCTCATCAGCACAAGACCAAACCCGTTGCAGAGAAAGATCAGCGCCCCTCCTGCTGTCAAGCACAGGACAGAAACTCTCGGTAAATGATTTGCATGGCGCCACCTCATGCGACTATTCTCATGCGACCTTCTCTTTTGTGTACTGTACTCAGTTTTTGTACAAGCTTGCACTGGGGGGGCTATTTTGTAGGACAATAGCTTTTCATGGTGTCTTCTATCCATCCGTCCATCCATTTTCTGTACCGCTTATCCTGTTCCGGGTCAGGGGGAGCTGGAGTCTGTCCCAGATGACCTTAAGTGAAAAGCGCTCGACACCCCGGATTGGTCGCCAGTCTGTCACGGGGCACATATAGACAACCAACCGCTCCCTCTCACAATCGCATCGTCAATGACGGGCAACTGAACACACGCCCCCTGTACCAATGTACCATCAGTGCCCCTGGTGTATTTTGGCAACACATGATTTGTTGTTGAAACATATTTCTAATGCCGATCTGTGCTGATTTACAAAGATTTCACAAACACTGGCTTAATATGGCAAATCTGTCTTCCAGACTCTTCTCCCAGCAGCACTCCGGCATCCGATTGTAGCTCTCCCAACGACAGCCTCCATTCAGACAATGGAGCCCTCCCACTCGCTCACGAGGTACCGACAAGTGGATAATCCTCCGCATGAGATCGGACTTTCCGATCTGTATGTGTTGTCGCGTTTGCGTTGCATCTTATGTATTCAATAACGTAAGCCTCTCTCTCGTGTGCCTTCATTTTCTTCAACGCGTGCTCGCCATCACGTTATAAATAAACAGCAATAGCAAATGCCTTGACAAGAATGTGTCGACATGATACAGAGCAGTCCCCGGTGGTATTTCCTGTTGTTTGTTCGCCAGAGCAACAGTCAGAGTGTCCACTGGGCGCCGCACTATTTACGGTCCCATTTTAATGATCGCGTGTCATATAAATAGTTGCAGCGACGTTGTGTGTGTATGTAGCGCTACAATAACATGGCCTCAAATTACTCATGGCGTGACGTACAATATTTTGGAGTTATTTCGCAGATGATAATGAACAGGATGTTTTGGCCGTTCATTTGCACAGTCCTTTTTGCACTCAATATGTTCATCTGATTTAGGCCCAAAAGCTTCTGCTGAAGGATGGTCGATTGGCCAATTTCACCCTGCCCACCAATCCATCCGCCAGGCCCAACATCACTGCAGGACTTCCCGCGCATGTGAGTCAGTCTTTCAGCGTTGACAATGGATTGTTTTCAAGGAGTAGACCTTGAAGTGTGAATAAAGGGAAATGCTCGAGTGTGGTCATCTCTTTAATGGGCCAAACCCAAATTCTTTGCATAGTTGATCTATTAAGGTTAGTGCTCCTTTTGTTGCTGCGTTGACGACCGTGAGGAATTTAATCGAGAGTGATCCATGTTTTGAGAATGCGTTCAGAAGAATAAAAGCGCCTCGTCTTATGTCTTCGACATTTCTCATTCGGTCTTTCCCTTCTCCACCTTCTTAATTTGTTTGATCTAGGTTGACCTGCGAGTAGCCAGGACTCTGGCAGTATCCGCTCTGCCTCAAGTCTACTTACCTCTCGATGGAAATTTTCCAGCCCAGGCTCACGGCTTGCAGCCCGTACTCATACTGGAACCGCATACCGGGCTTGTACAATCGCAACTCATCTCCTGTGAGTCACGAATGACATACTGAGTTTGTCCTATTGCAACAAATACAAAATAGCTCAACATTTGGCAATCTGCAGATATAATGCGGCACACATTCAGGCAAAAAAAAAAATGTTGGTTTATTGATTCCATTTTTTTTCATTGTTATTTGAGAAATAAATGAGAATGTGAAATCATTTCCCTTGCTAGCTAGTCTTCATGAACACATTGAGCAATGTTTTTTAAAAAGCTAGTGACCCCTTGCAGGTCAGGTATTTGTTACTAGTTGTACCTCCAAGGGGTAAATTAAATACCCCCCCCCCCCCCCCCACACACACACACACACACACTCTGCTGGGACTGTATTATAATAAACACAAGGCCTCCTCCTAGTGACCGTTGTGTGTTAATGCATTCTTCAGTCTTCAGTCTTATCCTACATACAGTTCAGTTGGTTTTGAGATTCGGCTTTTTTTAGACGTTTTGTTTATTCGAACTGAATTCCATCTTCTGTGCGTTTTGATCATTTTCTGATGTTCCACTCTCTTTTCTTTTCCTCCCTCCCTTTCTTTTTTTTCTGCCCCTCCTCCTATTGTATTCCCGTATTGTTATTGCCCAATGTTCACAGATCAAGGTTTGAGTCCTGCTTCCCTGCAACAGCAACGACACTTGACTTCCCCTACAAGAAAGGAAGGCCTCAACACCTTTTCTGCCCACAAACCTTTGGAGCGAACACGCTCCGAACCTCCGCCCTACAGCCACTCGCCCTTGACTCTGCATGCCGGCCTTCAGTGTCACACTCAGCACCAGCTGCCTCAGCAATGCCACAAGAGTGGGGTGGAGAGGTTCAAATTGAATTCCCTCCTGAGCAAGGTGAGGATTTGTGGATGCACACGCACGCACGCACGCTCCACTCAAATTCGTTCTGTATTAGGGTGGTTGTAGCAGCGATTCCCAACCACTGTGCCGAGGCACGTAAGCGCGTCATGAGAGGCAAACAATGTATCTTTGTCCAAATTATGCCAGCAGCGTATCGTGACAGGCAGAACATTTCAATACTATTGGATGGTGAAGACCTGTTGCCATTCATACCGCAGAATGACTTTCTGCGACTTTGTCAGCTTTGTGTTTCACTAAGCAGGCCCAATTTGAGAGTAAACGTGACCGAGATAATTATTATTTCAGTGTCCGATCTATACCTTTTGTGACATTATTGTTTCGTGGCACGCTGTGAGATGTTTGAAAGGTAAAAATGTATCCTTCGTCTCAATAATGGTTGTGTGAACTTCCTAATATCCACATCCTCATTTGACACAGATCCCATCAGAGGACATGGACCTGGAGGAAATTGGATCAGAGTCCGGGTCCGTGTGTGGCTCTGAACCGGGCTCGGTTTGTGAGGACAACTGTCGCAGGAGACAGAGCTCAGCCAGCACGGACTCGGTTTATGACACCGAGTCCACCACCTCTTCACGGGAAAGCCTGATTGAGACCTCGCATTCCGTCGGCCAGGTAAAATCAACGTTGTTTTGTGCATGCGATACCTCACCACTGGGCTCTGAACAAAGCCGCTGAATGAATAATTAGTTTGAAATCCAAACTTGTATGTTGTAATCCAAAATCTTCTTAATCAAATATCCACAGATGACTGAAATACAAAGCTAAGGATTTATTTACATCTTTTCTTGAATGTTGAACTGAATTAATTGCGCCACCTTTAACATTTGTTTTAACATAAGGGGGCGCTATAGCTTTAAAAACAGCTGTCACCGGTCTTAGACTCAATTTCATGACAGGCTCACCTTAAGTGTCAAGAGTGGTTGTGGGATACACGGGATGGAAATTTGATTTGATAGTTTGTCATGTGTCCCCGCTTGTTCTATTCTTATATTCTGATCGCTTCACGTGGCAATCACAGAGGCAGTTGGTCCATCGATCGGGATTCCACATGGACTCGCCTAACGTGCCTATCCTGATGTGGCCTCACCAGCCTTTGGTCCGGACCCAGTCCTCCCCGGCCTCTACCTCCCTGCCTCCCCTTCCCAATGCATCCGCAACCGTGCCCGTTTCTCTGTCCAGTCCTGCTCCAGATGTGAAGCTCCGCTTCACCACTGGTGAGTCACGCAGAAAGAAACCAGAAACAGGTTTTTTTTTCTTTCTCTGCCTGTCAACATTTCCTCTGTGTTTAAAAATCTTGCGCATTTAAAAAAAAAAAAAAAACTCTTCAGTCATGCACTTAAACGCAGAACAGTTCATCTGCACTATGATTTCATGTTTCAAAAATGACCATTGACAGATTCGACACCTTTAAAGCATTTTTTTATTCCCAACTCAAAATGATTGAACTCTTGAATGGCGGTTTGGTTTCGAGGCTGTTAATGTTTTGCTGTCAAAGCTCTGGGAATCAAGCTCCCTCACACCAAGTCCAACTCCTCTGTGCCATGTTTATTGTCCTCTGACTTGCACGTGTATATTGAAGTGGCTTTGGCACGGAACTGGTGTGGCTTTGTGGCCAGTCGCAAGGTGGAACCACTCACCCCAGCTGACATTCTCAAAATCCGACCCTGGCAGTCTGGGAGCTGCAACTGGCATTTATTTGGGTTTTACGAGCCCCGCTCTAACTGCACCAAATAAAAAAACGGATCAGACAGGAGTGACTTTGGATAGAATCTGAAGAAAATAAAGTGCCTGGTCGCTTTTGCTCACAAGTGACAGCTTGTGTATTTTGACATAAAAAGTAATTAGGTTGTGGGTAGAAAGTGGTGCTGACGCAGGATCTGGCCACCCACTGCTTCTCCGGAATGGGTCAAATGCAGAGAACAGTTTTTACTGTTCATTAAATGTGACAAAGTATGTTTAACCTGTGTGTGTGTGTGTGTGTGTGTGTGTGTGTGTGTGTGTGTGTGTGTGTGTGTGTGTATAGGGATAGTCTATGACGCTCAGATGCAAAAGCACCAGTGCACCTGCGGGGACAACAGCAGCCACCCCGAGCATCCCGGGAGAGTCCAGAGCATTTGGTGCCGACTGCATGAAAGAGGCCTGCGCAGCCAGTGTGAGGTCTGAAACCGAATGAGGCATTGCTTCACTGCTGACGGGGAATGTCATGTTGGTTTTCTTTGGAGATCGGATGTCAAAACCCGACTGTATTTTTGTGTGCATCCGCGTTGGCTTTGTAGCATCTCGGAAGTAGGAAGGCCACTTTAGAAGAGCTGCAGTCGGTCCATTCCGAAAAACACGTGCTCCGGTACGGCACCAACCCTCTGCACCGCCTCAAGATCGACAACCCCAAGTTGGCTCGTAAGTGTCGCAGATCAACCGACATCACTATGTCCAATCCAAATCATTTATAAAGCACGCTCTGGAACAACTTAGTCACCCGAAGTGCCGCACATCATCACTGACATAAACGGTAATTCAAATAAGAATAATAACATCCTGACTGAATGTAATCATTTTTTTTTTCCCCGTGTAGGAATCTTGGCTCAACGTATATTTGTAATGTTACCATGTGGAGGAGTGGGGGTGAGTGTAACTGCCTGAATGGCGATCTCTTTCAATCGCCATTCAAGAATCTTACCACATCTTTCATTGCATCACCGTAAAGTACATTTAACACTCGTCATGACTTAATTAAGCAGAGAGACCTTCAAATAGTGTAGTTTTTGTGCACAAGAAAAAAAGAAGGTGGTGTCGTAAGGAGTGGGGTGGGTGGGGGGACGACAAGAAACTAATTTAGTATAGAAGCAGCAGAGATGGTAAACTTAGAGTCGGGCAAAATAGACATCTTGATGGTAAAAATGCTCCTGTAAAAAAATTCTCTGTGAAGCAGTCAACATGACGGAAAAGGCATTCATTTGAAAGGAGAGGAGAGGAAAGGAGAGGAGGGGCTGGGGTGGGGGTATCAGTTGATAAGACGACTGATCCTGCCTGGATTTCCGTCTCATGACTTTGCTTGCGGAGTTATTGGAACAAGATGGCAACGTTTGTGATAAAAGAAATTCCTCTGATTTTATTCTTCCACAGTGGGACGCTGCCAGACATGTGACTGAATAAAAAAAAAAAAAAGAGTCGTGTAGAAAGCGGCTGAATGTTGACTTGGATCCATTTTGGTTTTATATTTTTGAAGACGATTTAAATGGTTGATGAAACGTAAAAATCCAACTTCAAGACGAATTACTGTCGCTTTAACCTTGAGGGAAAAAAACCCAACTCATCTTTACAAAGTAATCAAACATTACATATTGTATGTAGAGCTAGACGCAATGTTGAATGTATTCTTGTGTTATCTTGTTGACAGGTCGATAATGACACGATCTGGAATGAGTTTCACACAGCAGCAGCGTCTCGTATCGCTGCCGGCTGTGTCATCGACCTGGCACTCAAGGTGGCGCAAGGAGACCTGAAGGTGCGTTTTTATTGCTCAATAAATTCTCAACGCTGATAATTAAGCAGGCATTTCAAAGCTGAAGTGAAACACGGTATAACACTCTCTTCAAATAATAGACCTGAAACAAGGACACTCGCGAACGAGCAGGCACCCGCCAAGTCTGAACAAGTGTCCTAACGGTGGCAAAATTGTGTGCCGTTCAGGGATTGCGGCGCCAGCAATAAATACAATGTGGAACAAAAAATCCTAACTCTGACATCTAAATCCGCAATATTCTTTTTTTAACATTGTATGTAAAAGGGAAAACCCTTTCGCCCTTTTCTAAGTCACTGGACATCATATTCCCTTGGATCTCATGTTATCCAACTTGTCCTTGGGTTCACGTTTTAAATTATCCTTCAGCCAGGATGCACGCATTGAGAATGGCTTCCTGAAAACAACTGAAACACACATACAAACACACACACACACGCGCACACACGTAGACAAAACTATTTATTTATTTATGTATTTATTTATTTTTAACAAGATCAATGATATTGGTTGACTTGATTGTGTTTCTAATTCCAAATCGGATTTTTTTTTTCTTTTAATTTCATTCGACAATATTTTAATGGTTACTTTAACGTTCCAAATGTTCATACCGGTATAGTATAAGTTTTTAACTGTATCATAAAACGACAGAACACAAAATCTACTCACTCTTAGTCACCAATACATGACTTACATGCTTCACCTGATGGCTCTTCTTAATAAGTGCTAAATTACACACACTTGGTCTTGGTTGACTTTTGGACAATCAAGCCCAGCTAGAAGTCTCTCGTAATTAATTATCCCCCCCCTCGACCCCCCACTCACTATGTAGTTGCTTGTTTGCATTTATTAGTTCCGAGTGAAGGTAAACATGATTGTTTGTCGACATGGATTTGTCACCCTTTTTGTCTTACCTGCAGCAGCGCCTCTAGGTGTAGACACACAGACGCGAATCTTTTCCCGAGTGAGGTGTCAGTGAGGTGTTGAATTTATTAGAATTTCTTTTCCACTCCTTTTTCAGAACGGATTTGCAGTGGTGAGGCCGCCCGGGCACCATGCCACGCACTCCTCCCCTCTGTAAGCGCACTCTTTTTTTTTTCTCTCTTTCTTTTTTTTTTCTTTTTCCCAAAGCATTTATTACATATTAACTGCACTTTTGACTTGATCAAGACCGGGCCCATGGAGCATGTGTGTGGTTGAGTGCGCACTCTATGGGTGGGCGTGGATCTGTGACAGTCTTTGAATGGAAGCATTTAGTCTCATTCAGCTGGGACTGGTTGTGTGTGTCCTCGGCAGTGCATGTCACCAGTTATTTATGGGATTCTATACTTTTTTTTTTTTTTTTAATGAGATGACTGTATATACACTATATCCTTCACATACACAGACACACTCACACAGTTTACAGCCAGTGCTGACACTAACATTCCTCCACTGTTTTTCACACATCACCATTTTTTTTTCCACCGTTGTCGGGCGGGTGGGAAGAACTGCTCCGCCACATTCTGCGCTCATTCCTCATCACATCCTGTTCGAAATGCTTAGAGAAATCTTTTGGCTCCAGGAGGGAATTTTATGATAAGCGTGTGTTAACTTTGTCACATAGTCTGTGGCCTCTGCATTTTTCTTTTTTTTTTTTTTGCAGTTTCAAGATTTTGGACTCAGCGTGACATTCTCTTATTAAAACATTTCCCTCATATCCGAAAAAGCCTTCATTCCGAAAATATTTACACGTTCGCGTGTCAAGGGCTGTCCGTGTTGTGACTGTCCCAACCTGTGTTCAATAAGCACCCACATGACTTGTTTTAGATGTCCCAACAGTCCATATGGTGTTTGTTTGATATTAATACGCTGATGATATGCCGATAAACACATATGGCCTTCCTGTTTGTCCACAGGGGTTTCTGCTTCTTCAACTCGGTGGCCATCGCTGCCAAGCAACTCCAACAGAAACTCAATGTGGGCAAAATCCTCATCGTGGACTGGGTGAGGTGCTATATAGCCTGACGCCAGTTTCCTTATGCGCGGGAAGAAACACACCATTTTAAACAATTAGTACAAGAGCACTGCAGTCTTTTACAGTTGTGAACGCAACTAAGCTTCTGTTGTCGAGTTCAGTGCGTGATGCTGGAGCGCTCTCTTTTTCATCATTGCATTTCAATACAAGACAGCCATTTCTTCCTTTCTGAGAAATGTTGACATACACGTTCGTTTAACCAAGCGAGTGTTATTTGAGTTCTGTCTGGAATGCCTGGCTTGTTAACTTAAATTCTTCTGTCGCCATTTTTGCCCAGGATGTTCATCATGGCAACGGTACCCAGGAAGCCTTCTACAACGACCCGGGCGTCCTGTATATCTCGCTACATCGCTACGATAACGGCAACTTTTTTCCTGGTGGTGGACATCCTAACGAGGTAGCCTTTGACAAAGATCTGTCTTTTTCACTGCTTTCCCACTGGTAGGGTAACTGTCCGTTGCAAAAAATCCCGAGATACCGTAGGCCCACTGGCAACCTCTTGTTGTTGAATTCAATTGTTGCTGTTGGCTTAATATTCATACACTTGCATTGACACCCATATTATCTGTATTGTGCTAGCGACATGCAGGTGAATGTGCACAACAATTCGAAATGTGCAGGTAAATAAAAACTGTTTGGATTGTGACTCCTTTGATGTGCTAATTTTCAGGGAACCAGTTGTGAAAGGGGCTCATGTTTCAATTAGAGGCTGAGTCTAAAAAAAAAATAGAAATTGATGGTTTCCCATTGCAGTACCTTGGTGAGGTTTGCATGTTCTCCCCATTGGATGGGTGGATGTTGGAATACGTGTTATATTATGCTTATGTGTTGACCAGAGCTCACTGTTACATTTTGTTGACATTTTTGTGTAAGAGTCCTTGAGTTCTCAACATGGGCCACAAAAGCTCACATTTGTAGCTGTGGGCATGATGTCACGAAAAGATGTCCATTGGGTTAAACGGTGGTCATTTGTGACTGTGCATTCTGAGTTGAGTTTAAAATAAATATGTTGTTCAAGGGGAGGTCTATGATTAGGTAAGTGGTAGTTATCATTATGGGCCTCGGCAAGTCTTTTAGAAATCACTCTGGTCTTGCGTAATGTCCCCTTGAGTAGCACAAGTAAAGGCACTCATATCAACCACACTGGAGAAGCCCCTGTACTTAAAACTCGAATTCACTCAGAGATAATTATTGATAGTGCGCTCATCTGCTCACATAGCTCATGAATCTGCCACCGATGTAAGATGTAGAGGGGGGCGGGGGGGAACTATCCGAATATGTTCCATCCAGGTTAAAGCGACGCTAACCTCACTTTTGCTGTTGTGCTCAGTCTTCGCTTGCTTCTAAATATCATCTGAGCTTTTATATTGTATTTGTCACATGTTTATGCAGATTAGGGTAAACCTCATGAAAAGATGCGTACATGCCTGTGTTTTCATATATGAGCTGAAGATGCCGATGAAATGTGCCCGTGGCCTTCCCCAAAACCAAGTGCGGCGATTGTTCACAGATCCATTGTGCCCACGATCGAATTCACAACTCATTCAATCCCACACGTTCCTTCATCTTTTTCTGCCACCCCCCCTCCAATAATGAGGGTAAATGGTCAATGTTTTCCCATAAATTCCCCCGATGAGGACGGTACATAAAACACTCTGTTGACTTGGATGTGGTTGCGCCTTAAGTGGCCCCTCAACCTCTGTTTAGCTGTGCGGTAAACCGCTGGAGTCTTACTGTCCCCTCATGTAGGTATATAACTCACCATGGGGCAAGGTTGTGATGTCATAGTCATAACGCAGAGTGCTGTGTACCACACAGTAACCAGCAAAGTCCTAATCGATTCCAGCAACGCTTTCAACATGAAAGGAGGACGCAGAACAGAAGAGAGCACAAGATACTTGGAGCAATAGTAGGAATTGTGTGACTGTTTGGTGTGTGTGCGTATGTGTGTGTGTGTGTGTGTGTGTGGCGCACGCGCACGTGTGGCTGTGCGCGCACGCGCAAGCAAGTACATTACCAGTTGGCAGAGGATGGAAGGCCTCATGTGTTTTGTGTTTGCCCTGTGAACATCCCGTCCTCAGAGAGAAGAATGGAGTCGGGCGCTCTGCAATGCTCATCAGCATTCCGCCGTACACATGCACACACACTACCACACCTTGTTGCCAAGAGGGTGTCAATCAGCCTCCACACGCTCCCTTCAAACTGACACATTGACGGATGGCAAAGGCCTGAGAGAGGGGCTAAATGGCTGTTAGCAGGACTACAAAGAGAACGAGGAATCCTTCGACCTTCTTTATTTTCCAAGACTGGGCCTCAGTTCCCTTTTAGTTCCCGTTAATACGTGGGGTCGAAGGAGCTCCCTTGGCTCGACCTAAATGTAATGTTGCAGCGGTCGAAAGAAAACTGGAGTGCACATTTCAATTAATATTTTGAACATTTGCCCTGACTGTGCTATTACAGGTCGGTGTGGGGGCAGGCGAGGGCTTCAACGTGAACATTGGATGGACAGGTGGTTTGAAACCTCCCATGGGTGATGCCGAGTACTTGGCTGCATTCAGGTAAAATTAACATTTGTTGCCATCAATTCTTTACATAAGTCTCAGGAATACAGCTTTTAAGAACCATACTTTGTTTGTTTGGTTTTTTGTTTTTACTTGATGATGGTTTTATGCTTTTTCAAAATGAAAACATGTTAAAAGTTAGACATGCTTTTCAAAAATATCAAGTATGTGTGTTTTAAGTAATTGTGGTAAATATATATTTTTTCGTTTAAATATGTCATTCTTCTATTTTGAATACTCATTTTACTTTGGTCCCAGTGAGGATAAATGCTTCAGAAAGTGGACGGATGGATGACTTTTAAATTGTACGCCCACAGAATAGAATAGAATTTGTTGTATATTAAGGATGCGCTGCCCGCTTGAGCTTTTATGACATGAATTTGTTGCATATAAAAAAACCCCAATAACATTCTAAAAATGTATTTGTGGCCATAAAAACATAATTTTGGTCATTTAACTAATTAAGTCGCAATAAACTAATTTCCTGAAATAAAAAGTACATATCTTACATCATATAACACACAATAAACACGTACCGGTAAAAATTGTGGTTCTGAACTTTGCTGTGTATTAAATCCACAAGCCAGGACAGAAACATACGAAACTTCTCAGTTAGATGGGTCTTCCGAAAAATGTCAAGCGCAAACAATATTCACAATGCTTACATATTTGCCTTTTAACAGTGTACATCCACTATGATTTGATCAAGCTTCAGGAATTGACAGTCATATTATCTCTCCTCTCATGATAAACCAATTCACAGAAAAGAATTTAGACTTTTGGCTGTCACTCACCTCATATTTTCTTTCATTTGTTTTTATTTTCCGATCATAAATTTGTTTGTTCAGCTCAATACTGTGAGATGTTTCCACTCGTGGCTCACCACCAGATGATGAAACCGTGTTACAGATCAACATCCCGCTCGCTTGGTGGGTGGGCCCCTCGTCAAAGGGAAAATGCTAATGAACTTACCCATAATGATTTACAAAAAAAGAAGCCATAGGCCTGGGATGCCGGCTTTGAAACAGTAAGTCCAGTGTTTACTAGAGTTTAGAACAGTAATTAAGGAACAACTGGTTCTTTCCGGAGTAGGGTTTTTTTTTTTTTTTTTTTTTTTTTAAACCCTGTATCGGGAAATAAGAAGCGTTTTCATGTGTAAAACTTCCTTACCTAACCACAATCTTTACAGCACAGGTGTCAAAGTCAAGGCCCGGGTGCCAGATCTGGCCTGCCACATCATTTTATATGGCCCGCGAAAGCAAATCAAGCATGCCAAGTTCCATGATGCTTGCTAAAGTCTGAACCAAAATTTCAAATTGTCCTATGTAATCCGCAATAACAGTCATTATTTTGACTTCTGATTTTAAAAGTAGTTATCCATCAATTTGTTGTGCGCTGTGTATGTAATATGTGGAGGAGATTAAACATTTAGATGGTTTCCACAAATTCATAACGGCCCTCCAAGGGAAACGGTAACTACAACGTGGCCCCCAACAAAAATGAGTTTGACACCCCTGCTTTACATTATTTGCAGTATTGTGTGGTTCTGAGGGGGCGAAGGTTCCTGGTGGACGTACCATAGCCTCAGGGGAAGTTTACATGACACCATTTTCAACCATTTGGGCCATTCTTTACACACACACACACACACACACACACACACACACACACACACACACACACACACACACACACACACAATCTGAGGCTAAAAAAAGCAATCAGATTCATGTATGCTGTAAATCCCAATTCATCATAGGGATATGTTCCAACCCCGCTTATTTTCCTTACCAAATGAATATCTATATATCTATCAGGCTAGCTAGCTAGCTAGCTAGCTAGATAGCTAGATAGATAGATAGATAATTAGCTAACTAGCTAGATAGATAGATACATATCTGTCTGTCTGGATAATTAGCTAACTAGCTAGATAGATAGATAGATAGATAGATAGATAGATAGATAGATAGATAGATAGAATTGCTGGTTACAGGCAATGAGTTGATCAACTATCCGACCAACATCAAATTGTGCTGCAATCAAAGAGGAATTGTTGTAATGAAATCAAGAAGTGAGCAAAATCAGACATTCTTCACCAACTTCAAAGAGTAGAGCACACTGAATGGAACTATAATGTCTCACCACATTTGTTCTCATTAGGTGATTAGTGCAATGAAAGGCATAACAGGCAAAATGGACACAATTTAACGCATCGTAAGTTCCTGTTTACGCTGTCGGTGCCCTGCCAGTTTTCGTAGTTTAATTTGAGTCCATTGTTTGGATGACAGGGTGTTCCGGACTCTCCTCAGGATGGAGGGAAAAGCGAGCCAGACTCAGGTCGCTGGTGATGTGTGTCTGTTTTTGGCTGCCTGTATGTGACAGGCTTGTGGTTCCCAGTGGTGGAGAGACTCAAGTACAATCAAGCAAAAGCTCAGTTGCACCGAGGTGAGGTGTCATGATGTTTTGTGTATGTTTGGAGGATCACGACGGTGGGCCATATTTTAGGTGAATCTACTGGCCAGTAGCTTTTGGTGTTCATCTTTCAATGGCTGCTGACACCTCCCAAAAGTGTGGAGGAAAGAAGAATACAGAGGAGGAGAGAGGCAGAAGAAGTAGGGGGTGCAATTGTTTGAGAATCCAAAGGCGGCGTAATTAGGCCCAATGGATCCCAGATGGGTGGCTGTCAGTGACGTGAGAAGAGGGACGAGCTCCTAATAGGAACCAGACGCACACAAACGCCTTTGAAGTGCCGCCGAAGGAAAGAGAGAATCAAACGCGGCATGGGCCATGCGCGCGCTTTGGCAGCCGGTGAGGGAAGGAAGTAGGAACCAAGGAAAAGTGTTCTCCCCGGAGTGCACAGGGTATCTGATTTCTACCTGTTTGTGTCACAGGCCTTCCCTCGCACGTTGTTTTCACTGGTGCTCTCTTTGCACATGTTCTCACCCCTTGCTGCTCTTCCCACCAGTCCAATCAAAACCGATGACACGCGTCACATTTCGATCATTAGTCAAATGTTTTCAAATTAACACATTTTGCAGTGAATTGTCAGTCACACTATCGATGGAGCATCCATCGTCACCATTGTCTTTCATGTTTCTTTTGTTTGTCATGTTGATTGAAACCTCAAAGGTCCAACGCGATCAGATCTGGGACAGATTTTCTTTTTTCGGAATTGAAAACATGTTCTCCCAAAGGAAAGGATGGAAATAGAAATAATATGTTGCAGTGTCAAACATTTAAAAAGCAAATGTACAAATGTAAATAATAATGGAACCGCAGTTAGTTTTCGCTAAATCGCTTACTTTGACGAATGAGGCTGGATGCACCTTGCAAGTGTCATTTTCACGGTAAAAAAATGGTTAGCCTCACACTTATGAGTTCCCAGGTTGCAAACTCAGCTATGGCCTTTCTTGTGTGGAGTTTGCATCTTTTCCCTGCGGTTGTTTTGCTTTTCTGCGGGTACTTTGGCTTCCTCTCACAATCCAAAAACATGCATGTTAGATAAATTGTCCGGGGGTGCGAATGATTGTTTGTGTATATGCCCTGCGATTGACTGGCGACCAGTGCAGGGTGTACCCTCGCCCAAAGCCAGATGGGCGAGGGTAAAGCGGATCAGAAAATGGATGTATGGATGGATAAATGCAAAGGAAATTAAAATGTTTCTTTTTGAAATTACAAAAATACCATATACTGTAGTGAAATTAATTTTAAAAATGCTTGAAACACCTTCATCGGAGGAATGTGAAACAAGTAAATCGGGGCTGTATGGCTGCTGGGACCATGTAGCTTTAGCACTTGCTAGCCTCTATGTCTTCGCCATGACAGTTCGTAGTCCAAATTCTTAAGAGGAGCTTAGATTTCGGGGTTCATCTGTTAACTCCAAACAGGCCCCTAATCTCGGCGAAGGCATGAAGTCATCATGTTTACATTTGCCTGTGATCCTCCGCAGAGCCGTGGTGATGCCCATCGCCCACGAGTTTTCCCCTGACGTAGTGCTGGTCTCAGCCGGATTCGACGCAGTCGAAGGCCACTCGCCGTCGCTGGGCGGCTACGTGGTCACAGCCAAGTGTAAGACTCCGTTGGTCTTGCATCCACAGATGGAAGCGCGAAATTGATCTGGATTCAACTTGATGTGTGTGCTTGTGTCCGACCAGGTTTTGGGTTCCTCACTCGACAGCTGATGTCACTAGCCGGAGGTCGCGTGGTTCTGGCTCTGGAGGGGGGACATGACCTCAAGGCCATCTGTGACGCCTCTGAAGCCTGCGTCAGCGCCTTGCTGGGAATGGAGGTGAGAATGTGTGGATGTGTGTATACGTGTGTGTAGGGGGCCTTCACATACCAACATGCCTCCTTTCTGGACGTCAGGTGGAGCCTTTGTCCCAATCAGTGTTGGACCAAAAACCTTGCGAAAACGCTGTGCAGTCACTACTGAGTGTCATCCAGGTTCAAGGTGAGCAAAAATGACCAAGACACACCACAGCTGGCAGCATCAACAGGGAGAAACAAAGACACATATTTTCTGTCAGATTCACTCGCATCTTTAATTTGACGCTTGATGGGTGGGCAGGCACCCCAGAAACTCAACCATTTGGATACAATAAAAAGTCAATTCTCGGTAATATGGCTCCTAAAGGTCACACTTGAACAGTAGCAGGAGCTCAGCTGTTAGGACTTGAGCTTTGGACCTCAAGAATTACAGTTCAAGTCTCGCAATGGACTAATGTTATGTGTTATGTGACATTTTTCCTTGCCTGTTTGCATGTCATGTACTTCACTGTGTGATCAAAAATGTATTTATTTATTTATTTTTTAAACATTTGCCTACTGTAACATAACAACAACAAAAAAACACTCTTCTTTAAAAAGTGAAGTTTTGTATAAAAGTGTTTTTTAATCTTGGCTCTGCTCAACCCTGGCTTGGATAATTAAACACTCTAAATTGTCCATTTTTACTATTATATTATTTCGTTAAAGAATATTGGGGGTGGGGGGGTTAAAATAGTTTTTTGTTCGTTTTTGCAGACTGTAATAAACTTGCTCTGTGCGGAGGAGGGTAAGACCCGATATTGATAATTTTGCAGAAGAGCAGGGAGGGCTGCGCCACTGTGGGAGTGGTCACATCTGACTTTAATCATGGCCAATTAAAGCGGCTCCTTTCACTCCCTTCAAATGCGGCGCGCTAGTTGCGCACTACAGTCACGGCATGGCGGAAACACACCTGCGCTGTTAAGTCGGCAGATGGAGACCGCCCCCCCTGCTCCGATCATTCGTTTGCCCCATGAATAGCTTTGCCGGCCAGTGGGATGACTTCCCCGCTGTGAACATATTTATGAATGAAATTATGTTGCATCAGACCAGCTATCTGCCCTGAACTGGTCTGAGCAGACGCAAAGTGCATATCATCCTTCTTCCACTAAATTGTCGCTCCACCTTGAGTATCTCCAAGACACTCCGTCTGAAGCACCAGCCCGCCCAGCTTGGTCTGAGACACTTTTACAATGTCAAAGTGTAACATCAAACATTGCCTGTGTACCTAATAGACCATGTAATGATAGTAACAGTTTAAGTCTGGAATGGATTCATTTCTATTATTTCCTTTGGGGAAAGTTTCCTTTGGGAAATCGAACAAAGGTCGCACAGCATCCCGGCATAGTTCCTTTTCTATTTTCTGTAATTGAATCTTACGAAGTGCTCACCTTCTTTTTCTTCCTCCTCATCACCGCCGCTTCCCGGTCACCTCTCCTCCTTGACACCCCCGGCGCTCATCCCTCCCTCCAGCCATCCCACACACACACACACACGCAGTCACACACACAATGCCGCCCTGGCTCCAATTATCTTCAAACGCTTCTCTGGCACACGACCTTCGCAACATCCCCTCCTGATTGCGCACAAATGTTATCCCAACCAAATTAGATTAATTAAAAATATTTGCAAAGCCACAAGAATGTTAAGCCTATGATTTAGGCCTGGAGAGAAATATATGGGAGTTGTATTATCGCAACACATTGGCTTGATTGAAACTTCCTCTCAATGTGTGTCACACGCCCTTTCAGTTTACATTTCTGATGTTATCAACGGGGATATTTAGACCGCGGGCTGTTTGGACGGCGTGACATTAAACAGCGCCGAGCAGATGACAGCCTTCGCCGCTAACACGACATCCATCTTCCTACCCCTCCCTTTTCTCTTTCACTCCTGTCAGGTGACTACTGGCAGAGCGTGAAGGACTCGGCCGCCACCGTGGAGCTGTCCTACCTGCAGGCCCAGCGGCGATGGCTGAGGCGAGACTCGGACAGCGACGCCGTCGATGCCATCGCCTCGCTTTCCATGGGAGCTGCCACCTCTGACAGGTTAGCCAAATGTTTATGGCAAATGTGTCAAAAAAATCCGCCAGTACGGCGAAACGCCCGCCTATTCACGGTTTGCTCGTCACAAATTGAAACTTTCTCGTCGTATCCTGTTTGCCATTTTATTATACTTTTGACTGAGTAATCAAAGACACACTTGTTCTTTAAATGATTATACCACAAACGACTCTCTGGTTACTTCCCGTCGCTGATGTTAAGCAACAACCAGCTGTTAGCTGTTGCCTCACACCACCGCCAATAGTGATATGGACTTTTCTCTGGATCATTTTAAGAAGTGTTTTAACTTCACAAATCGCATTGTTTGCCTGTCGGACCTCTACTTAAAGGGCAAGTCCAGTCGAAAATGTTGATTGCAATGTTTTTTTGTGCCCCGACTAGTCTAAACACGGATTTCTGCTTAATATTACGTTTATGCAATTGATGCGGACTGAAAATGACATCACAATGGGCTCAGTTTGAAAACAGGTGAGCCGCGACGGTCGTTACCTGGGCACTTAGGCGCTGTGATGTCATTTTCAGTCGACAGCAAGTGGCAAAATGGCCGCCCGCTGAGAGTGATAAAAATGGGTGGATTTTGCTGCTTAATTCATATTCCACACACAATATTGATCAGAATACCGTTTTTAGACAAATGGGGAAACGCAGAACATATTATGGTGGAGATAAAGTGCACTCCATTAACCATGTTGTTACAGACAGGTTAGCGAAAGGCTAAATCCGCAAAAATCTGTTTGCTGTTAGCTGGCGGCCAATGCTAGCTCTACTCAGATGTTAACATCCCGTCTGTTTGGACAGCATCTTATGGTCTTACAGGAAGACCACAAAAATAGCGCAATGAAGTTCGGTTAGTGTCAAGGAGGGTGTTCACTGTACTGGTTTGTCGTGTGCTGAATCACATGACTCATAACGGTGCTTCTTGTTGAATTAGGAAAAATGCAGCAAAAATGCCAGAGAACAGTCATTCCACATGAAGAGGGAATCTTCGGAAGCAGACGACCTTCTCACGTTCCTTAATGGAAGCACACACGCATACCCACGCACACACACAAATGTGCCTGTGAAGGAGAGTAGACATGAATAACCAAAAGAAATCATTCATTTTGCACTATGTACCAGCGTATGTGGACAGTTCAAAGAGATTTTTTTTTTTCCTGGTCCGGCTACAGTGATTTTTTTTTATTTGATTTTTAAAAAAATCTTTTCACTTGGCCTTGGATGTCGTGCTTTTTGACCGAGCCCACCGCCATCGCATCATAATCTGCAAGGATTTCTTTACACACGAGACAAGCCTCGATGCGGCGTGACCAATCGAAGATGATTGATGTCATGTTGTGAGGAGTCCACAGTGCACATGCCCTTCGGGACGGAGGGAAGGGGGGGGTTGCTTGGACTTGATGGTGTCAAGTCTTTTTTTTTTTTTTTTTTTTCTACCTGTGGATGATCATTCCTGCTGAATTTTTGTAAAAAGTACTTAATACTTGTATGTCTTCACTAACTCTGGCTCCGCCGCAGAAGGCCTTTGTGATTCAACTGACTCATGTTCGCAACTGAACGCCGTTACTTAAGTTAGGACAACATGTGCCGTCAATGGACTGGCATGGCTTTAAGAAGTTTGTGAATGTCTTTTTTTTTTTTTTTTGTTTAAGTATCCCCGAAATGTTGAAAAAGAAATTCCCATCTCAAAGAAAGGATTCTATAATTTTGTGTTATTTATGCGTAACATTCTCTGAGATGCTCTTGTATGTGAATGCGCCGTGTTTTCTTTTGTTTTTCGTACATTGTGTCTGCTCTTTATGTCTTTGTTAAGGTCAGGTTGTTCATGCAGCCCGAAAGCTGTCCCCCCCCTGCCCCCCCCTCACCATCGCTAATGTGCTGACAATGTGAAAACAAATCATGGCGAGCTGGCTGATCAATCCATTGTTACTATGTTGACGTTGTACTTTGCATCTGACATATCTTATTCACCTGTTGTCTTAAACGAAAGCTGATTTTGTACAGAACGAAAAAGAAAAAATACTGCCCCATGTGCTTACTTAAAGAGACCAAACAGTGAAATGAAGTATCTGACCAACTTATGTAAAAGGGCACATTGACACGATGCCTTTTTGAGTGTCTGCTTTTTAATCTTTATACTGTTGGGAAAAAAAAAAAAGATTCAATTATATTCATTTGAAAAAGTTGACTTTTTTGTGTACATGGTCTCAGCTAAATTATTTCTACAAAATATGTAAAAGAACCCTTTTTTATTGTATTTTACTTAACAAATAAAATCACAAATATTGATCAACATAATAGTTCATATACACATTCCATTCATATATTTCCTTCAACACGACCAACCCCTCGTTTAAGCAAAAGACTATATCGTTTAGCTGGGGGTCAACAAGAACCACATGGGTAGCTTGCGGTCCTGTTCTAAAAATAGCTCACCGCTGATGGGACATTGTAATTTCCTCGGTATGTCATAGAAGTCACTCTTTCCAAAATGTAAACACTCACAGAGATTCATAGAAATAAGTGTTGGTTCGTCATTTTTATCGGCTTCCCGCCTTTTTTAATATCTGTTCACAATTATTGCTAATCATTGGCATGATAATTGTCTTCATATAGATTCATAGACAGTCATTAGTTATTGTTGCCGACTAGCCTTAAAAATTAAAATACTCATTTTATTTCAAACCGATTGTTTGATTTTGGGGGGATAATAAACTCACCTTTCTTTTATGTATTTAGGCACCTCACTATCATCTGTAAAAATATGTAACATTCAGCAATCACAAAAACATTTGTAATGAATTTTTTTTAATTGTATTTTAAAATGTTTAATGTATTTTAATAAAATCAAAATTAATACAATAACGTTAACGAAATAAATATCCATATACCACATGCCCCTCGTTGTCTTGATGGACTTAACCATATAGTCAAATATATTTGCAGCAATCATTACAAACAAAGGTGTATTTGTGCTAACGTATTTGATTTTTGCTCCTCATTTTCCCTAAAGGGTCAAGGCGCAATGAGTATTCATTTTCTGTTGCACTTGTCCTCGTTCGGGTCGCAGATGAGCTGAAACGTATCCCAGCTGATTTTGGGGTTCACCCTGCATTGATCACCCGCCAGTCGGAGGGCGCATACGCATACAGTAGACAAACGGACATTCATACTCACATTCACAAATATGGACAATTGAAAGTCTTTAAATTGTGTCTGACAAACACCCACGCAAGCACAGGGGAGGAAATACAAACACACCTGAACTGAGATTCGAACCGAGAATCTCTCCGTTAGGCTGACCTGCAAACCACCACACTGTGCTGTCCATTTAAAAATAGTATTACACTAGCATTGAACCAATTTTACGACGACTGTAATCCATACTTGCACCACATTCTCTGGCCCTCAATTCCACGAAGGAAACACATTACCGCATGACCACTTTTTATTTTCAAAACAATAATGACTTAAAAAAGTAAATGTAAACATGATTAGATTTTATTCTTCCTGAAAGACGATATACACCAATAGATGCAGCAGTCACTACAAAAAAAAAAATAAATTTAAAGTTGTATTGGCCATAGGGGCCGACACAACAAAGATGATCACAAGCAGATGCAAAACTATACA